AGCTTGAGGCTCTGTCTCAAAAAATAAATAAAAAGCAGTTAAGAAAGTTGAAAGAAGATCACAAGAGAGATGACAGACTTTTTGTCTTAAATGGAAAGATCTACACAGAATAAAGAGGCTAAATAATTAAGTTCCTTACCCACATCAGACATGTCCACTTATTTAATGCTGATTATTTTCTTGTATTATGTCTATTAAGATTATTGATAGATTTTAAAGTGAAATGAATTGAAACATTTTATAGTGACATTTTAGTTTTTATTTATTAGCTTTCTGACATCTAATTATTAAGTTATAGTTATGATTTGCTGCACCACTTAAAAGAGCAAGGGTAAGATATTGATGATTTCCAAAATTATTTTAAATATATTCAAGAACTGTCTTGCCATAGGAAAAATTAAGAATCTTTTCTTAATGCTTTTGCTTTTTCTAGGAGTCAATTATGTTTTAGTGATGCTGGTATTTTTTTAAATAGAGATTATGTAAACGACCTAAAACATTTTGTTTCTGAGTCTTAGAGAAGCTGTTCGTTCTCCTGGTAAATGCATTAGACTGAAAGGACGAATAGCATTCTTCTTACCTTGTGAGGTCTTTTAGTCTGAAACTTTTAACTGAGTTCTGTGTTCTTCACTACAAAACATAGAAATACCTACTGTTTAGTTACTTGAGAGATTTCACAAAGATTAAAGACTATAAGGAAGAGTTTATTTTTATATATACACATATGTTTATTTTGCAACTTAGTTATTTATCAAATAATTATTCAAATACTATGTTCCAGGTATGACACTGGTACTAGGTATTTGGCGGATATAAACAGACATGGTTCCTGCCCTTGAATATACAGGAAGGAGGTAGAATAATTACAAAATGTGATAATTGAGGTAGGAAACATTAAGACACAGCTAGAATGACTGTAATCAGGGAAAGCTTTTCTCAGCTAACATTTGAGTATTAAGGCATTGGCCACTTAAGGACAGAGAAAGAACATTCTCAAAAACCATAAGGCAGCAAACTGACATGAGAGGCACTAAAAGGAGACATCATGGCTGGATCATAGCGGGGTAGCGGTTGGGCGGTGGCCACTGGATAGGGTGTTAGGGCTGAGGCATGTTCTTGAAGGCCTTTGTAATGGAGAGTTTACATTTTACTTAAAGAGCATCGAGAAGCTCTTAAAGGGTTTTCAGCAGTGAGTGACATGACTGGATTTATATTTTGTAACAATTAGACTAGGCAGAGGTAGGGGGGACCACTTGGGGGTTATAGAAGTACTTCAGGAAACAAATGACGGTGGCTGGTATAGGGGCAAGGGACCAGTTCAAAATTTATCTTAGAAATAGAACCAGCAAAACTTTGTCATGATGTCAGGGGTGGCTTCAGGAATTCTGGCTTTAAGGAACGGCATTGCCATTTACTGAACGAAGGATGATGAGGATAGGGAGGAGCAAGACTGGGAGAGAATGGGACCATCCTTGGGCAATTGGATACTGGTTTTAAAGCTCAGAACAGAGATTCGAGCTGGTGATATGAACGTGGGAGCCATTGGCCTATTGGAAGTATTTAAAGCCCTGGGAAAGGATGTCATAAGTCTGAGAGAAAATGCAAGAAGAGAAGGGAGCCTGGAATTGAGTTTTATAGGGTGTGATCTGTTTGGAGGTTGGGCAGAGGAATAGCCTGTAGAGTACGGTGGGAAGGAGTGACCAGAGAGACAGAAAGAGAGCCAGAGAGTTTGTTCTGACTCCCAAGGGAGGGAAGCATATTGACGAGAAAACTATCATGGCCTGAGTTGGGGCTGCTGAGAGGTGCCATCAACAGAGCATAGGCAAGAGTGGACGGTCCCTTGTTATTTCCCAGCCCATGGGAAAGGGAAATCTAGATTGAGTGACTTTGTCTTTGTGAAGATGACATTGAATATATATTTTTCCCATTATCTCATTGGTCTGGTCTTAACCACTTGGCCACTATTCATCATCCTTTCAGGCCAGGTGGGGTTTTACCTGCCAAAACTGAAAGCTTAGTTACTGAGGTAAGATGGAGAAAATGGATTCCTGCTGTGAGCCCTGAGCTTCTCAGCCTGGGGAGAGTGGTTAAGACAGATTCATCTGTTTCTAAACCATCAGCGCAGTGCCTGGCTTATGTATGGTACTCAATAAGTGGTTAGTGAGTTGAATTGACTGTTAAAACTAATCTTTCTTTTAAGGGTGGAATTTAATTGTGGGCTCTGAATTCCACAGTGTACCCTGGGCCTTTCCTTCTCCTCCACTTTTTCTCTCTGTAATCCTGTCACTCTTCAGGATAGGCATACAAAAGTGAATATAATATTTACTTTCAAGATTTGCTTTAAAATCTTAAATGTATTGTAAAAGGAAAAAAAGAAAGTCTGTTCATTTTATTTGGATCACTATCTTTCTCTGTATTTGGACTTGATATTTACATATGCTTTGGGCAGCTGAGCACAGGCCAAGTTGAGATGTCTTTCATTTAATAGAAGGAATATCTGGTGGCCATGACAAGTAACCCTGAACACAAAGCACAGCTACGGCATTTAGCTTATAACATGGATTGGTATTTGTAACATTCTCTCCTCCTCAAATTATTAAACATATTCTGGTATGAAGATAGGAACTAAATAGTGGTTTTACTATGAAGTTATTAGTTTTATTCTGCACAATATTATAGCAAGGGGTATGTGATTTGATTAGAATACGGTACTAATATTTTTTGCTCATAATATTTTTACGATAAAATTAGAATTGAGAAGGAAAATTATATGATAATATGAGAGATTATTGTTGTGATACTTATCCCACATACCTAAGATAAGAAATTACTTAAAATAATACAGTCTAAATACTTGGCATAGCAGTTTTTTTACTGTTTAGACCAAAATCTGCTTTCAAATATGATGGTATATGTTATTAGTAGGAGGAAATAGTATCTATAGGAAATAAGTTGTTTAGATCTGATCATGTTCCGTGTCCTTGTTTGGCACATGTGGAAATAGAGGCACAAAATAGTGAAGCCTGTTAACTAGCACACTCTTAGAAGGTGGCGGTCATGTTTTAAAGGTCTTTTATCAGCAGATTGCATGCGTTAGGATCGGCTGGTTTAGCTCCTTGTGAGAGATGAGAAAAACTCATCTTCTAACACTCAAGGGAAATGCGAGGAAAGAATATGAGAATCAGTGTGGAAGGGAGGGAGGAGGGTGATGCCGCCCTGTGCCCCCCTCTGGAGCCACTGGCCGCCCTGCTTGTCCAGTGTGGGGCAGAGTCCATGTCCCTGGAGAAGCCTGGTGTAGCCGAGGTTGCTCATCCTAAGGGGGGATAACTGAATTAGGAGAAATCACATGGGAGAGGCCCTGGTGCTGGGAACTATCTGTAGATCCCGAGGTCAGGAGGGCCCCGGAGAGGCATAGGAACGGGTGGGAAATGAGAGTGTCTGCTTCCATTATCCGATCATCCTTCCCAGAGATTAAAATATATGCTCACCTGACACAGCAGATTCTTTTTTCTGAAATTACATGCAAATTAATTAATATGACATTCTTTAATGTCATTTTGCCATCATCCTCTGTGGCAAAACTCAGAATAGGATTAAAACCTGAGATCAATAGGAATCCACTTTTACTTGAGGTTAAATATTAATCTGGAGCCACTTGCGAGCACCATCCTGGCCAGTTAACCCTAGTTAGCATCTCCCGCTCTGCTCCTGCTTCCCTTCAGCCTTCCGGGGCCAGGATCCTAGTTTTCCCGCTGAAGGAGGTAACTGCGTAGAGTGACGAGATCCTCCCTGTTTTCTGCTTGCAGAACAATCAACCATGACGACTGAATCCGGATCAGACTCAGAATCCAAGCCGGACCAGGAGGCCGAGCCCCAGGAGGCGGCGGGGGCGCAGCCGGGGCCGGGGCCGCAGCCGCCGGGCGGGGAGGAGCCGCGGCAGGCCCTGGAGCAGTTCGCGGCCGCGGCGCACAGCACGCCGGTGCGCAGGGAGGTGAGCCGGGCAGCTGGGGTCTGCGCCAGCGTGGGGCTCTTAGCGCTACCGGCAGCTGCGAGGGGTCATCGGCTTGGCCCCATGGGGTCCCAGGCAGATGGAAATGGATGCTGTTTTAAGGCTTTAGGCGAATGGCGTTCCACAATCTTAGTTGGTAACTGTTTCATTTAATTAAAACACTTAAACTCACACTGGAGTCTGGACTGGAGATTATTGGTCCTACCTGGATTTAGAAGAATAGGCAGAGAACAGACAGCTCTAAATCATGCTTCCGGTGTTTTTTGTTTGGAGCCTAAGGGTGAGAGCTCTGTGCTTTGCCCTTGGAGCATTCTGACCCTAACACACCACCTGCTTGTACCAACCTTCAGCTGGGTCTCTTTCCTTCCCTGCGCAGAGCTGTATTTTCTGCTGTATTCTTTGTATGTATTTGAATTGTCATGAGTAATGTATATCTTTTAAAACTTTACTTATAGGCTTGGCGCCTGTGGCTCAAGTGGCTAAGGCACCAGCCACATACACCTGAGGTGGCGGGTTCGAACCCAGCATGGCCTGCCAAACAACAATGACGGCTGCAACCAAAAAAAAAAAAAAAAATTCCCGGGCGTTGTGGCAGGCACCTGTGGTCCCAGCTACTTGGGAGGCTGAGGCAGGAGACTCGCTTGAGCCCAGGAGTTGGAGGTTGCTGTGAGCTGTGATGTCACAGCACTCTACCCAGGGGGACAGCTTGAGGCTCTGTATCAAAAAAAAAAAAAACTTATAAAAAACAAAGTATGTAGTTTATACATGGCCCTTGAATGAGTCCATATTTAAATTTCTATCTTAAAACCTCAAGGGTGGAATCAATATATTTTAGAGTACCCACTTCTGTGCAGTAGAGAAATCTGGATGGAGTCCCTACAAGTGGTTGACCTTTGATAGGTCATAAATGTACATGCCAAACTAGAAAGCTGTTGACAGAAGAGCCTTGAAATCAGTATATTAGTGAAAATCTTTATTTTGTAGCACATTAATATAATATAACATTAAACTACATATTTACTACCAGATTATTTTCTTTGTTTTCTCAGGGTTTTTACAGGTTCTGCTTTTAAACAGTACTAGAATTAACATTTATTTTAACTCTAAATAGATACTCTTGTCTCACCCCAGAGGTTTTGTGATGGAGAGCTGGGAGGTCCCATCCCAGCTCAGCCAACAGAATCAAAGGAGCCACTGCCGTTGTCATGGTTTCTCTTTGCTTTCCTTTCTGTGGAGGAGTGATGTTGGTATTGTTTAGTTTTCTTCTTTGTTTTATTTGTTGTAATCTTAAAAAGTTTTTAATTACTGGACAGAGTGTTTGGCTTTTTCTTTATTCTCTTCTCTTAACTCTGAAATGAAATAACATGAAGATAGGAACTTATTATAGGAAAGTCTGAACATCTGTACCTGGACATGGTTAACTATACTTTCTGTATCTTAGTCAGATGTTGGATACAAGACATGAGAAACGATACTGAGCAGGAAGGGTGACTGGCTGCCGGGGCAGAGACCTCGGTTAGTCCGTCTCTTCTAATGGTTGTTACTGCTCAGGGAGCTCATTTATGCCCTCAGGCCTCAACTTGTTCATCTGCAAAGTGTAGAGTTTACAACAGATCCTTTCTAGGATGGCTCCACGGAACTCTTTGATTCATACTAGAAAGGCATAAAATGAAGTATATTTTGGTATATGGTGATAATTAAAACATGGATTTAGCTGGATATGAAGTCCAGCTTAGTAATTTTCTGACCATTAGAAAGTTTCCTAGGCTCCCAGGGAATGTCCTTCCTTATGTAAAGAATGTGGGTAAGTAACACCTGTACCACTGAGCTGCTGTGAGGATTAAAATGAGATGGAGGGTTTGCTTAAATGGTGGATACAATATTTGTAAATTATAATGCATTGTGTGAGTATAATTGACATTTCATTGGGTCTGCCATTCTAGAGTTGTTAAAGTTGTTTTAAAAATGTGTATAAGAACCTCCTTCACAGTGGGTTCATGTTCATAGAAATAAGGCCTGTCCTTTGAGTGATGGTGGATTAAGATGCCTCTGGAGTAACCAAGAAAGATTCTTTTCTTTTTTTTTCTTTTTTGGAAACAGAGTCTCACTTTGTCTCAGTAGAGGGCTGTGGCGTCATAGCTCACAGCAACCTCAAACTCTTGGGCTCAGGCGACCCTCTTAACCTCAGCCTCCCAAGTAGCTGAATATTGGTATAAACTACCCTTCAACACCCAGGTAGTTTTTAGAGACGGGGTCTTGCTCTTGCTCAGGCTGTTCTCAAACTCATGAGCTTAAGCAGTCCACCTGCCTTGGCCTCCCAGAGTGCTAGAATTACAGGCATGAGCCACCACGCCCAGCCAGAAAGTTTATTTTCATACTGATATTTTTATTTTAGTGGAGGAAAAATGAGATTTCATATTCCCTAGTAATATAATAGAAAAAGTTGATTCCAGGTAAAATTTAAATTAAAATGGAGGTTTTAATGACTTTTGCCTATGATGAGATTAAAAGTATAACCTAAATGTACAAAAATGTCTTGTATAAATCACAAAGCACTTAACAAAAATGTGTTAGGGTTATTGATACATGATCCAAAGTTCCCCAACTTCTCCTTAAACTACCTTAAGGCCAAAACCGATGACACTTGTATGATATTCCTGCACTTAATATTCTAATGCATTGGTATGGAAAGCCCAGTGGTCAAAAACGTGGGACCAGGTTGTCAGAGCAGGTTTTCTATAGTTTATCCCCCTGGTGTAGCTGAAGCTTTGCCTTCTCAACTACGTTAGCCTTTGAAATTGGCTATTCAGGTTTTTGTTGGTTTCTTTTTATAAGCTCAACAGATTGGTCTCTTTCTATTCTTAAGAACTTCCAAAGACTTCACCTTGACTTCCTGGGCTAAGGTTGTGGAAGAAAGGACTACATTAGCAATCGTACAGATGGGAAACAAAATAGAAAAAGCAGAAATCTGCATCTAAAATCTAAAACAAATATGCCAAAAAATTCCTTTGTAATTACACCAGGGTGTTGTAAAATTGTGGAGGCTCATAGAAAAGTTGAAATTGTCAGTTCTGTCTGTAATCTTCAAGTCCATGCAAGTTAGCCCAGGCTGAGAATATGTTCGTGTTTATTTCAAGGCCCTAAACTGAATTTTGGTGCCATGTATTTCTTATCTTGCTTATTTGCTAACTAGTGGCAATGGTAGTCTAGTCTAAGAAGAAAGGTATAGAGAGAGTAGTTGAAGATTTGTAGTGCACAGAGAGATTTTCAAAGCGATTGGTTTGAGGGAGAATCTTACTGTTCCATAGGCTGTCCTCTGCCATTTTGTGTCTAGCCAGAACTAGTCTGTTGTCATTTGAAAGCAAATTAAAGCTTTTGGACAGATTTAATCTGTTCTTATTCTGGCTCACTACAAGGAATGGAAGTAGACGTGGGGATTACTTTGTGATAAATTTCAGTGCTGCTGACTTCATTGAATTGATTTAGAGCTAAATTAAATATTTTAACAGGTGTAAAATCAATGAAAAGATTAATAGTTGAAGTTCTCTAGGCCTTAAAGTTTATCAAATTTGTGGTATGTGTGTGTATGGATGGAGCAGTTATAACAACTGGAATATAGAAGGATTCAGTGGATTAAGCAAGTAAAGCATATAAGGTAAAAGTCTAGGTGATATATTTTATTTTTTAATTTAATTTTTTATTAGAGCATAACTATACATTTATGTGATGATTTGATACACAATGTGGAATGCTTAACTCGAACTGATTAACATAGCCATCGCCTCACTGATTTATTTTTTGTGGTAAGACATTTATAATTAACTCTTAGTTATTTTGAAGTGTACCCTTGCATTGTGCACATTAGGGGAGCTGCCACCAAATGTCCTCCCTCCTCCCACCAGTTGCCCACCCCTCCCCTTCCTCTGCCTTCCCTTTTGCTACACTGTGTTTGTGTTTGATCCTTCCTATGGATGTGTGTTTATATATTGGTTTCATAATACTATTGAGTACATTGAATACAGTTTTTTCCATTCTTGAGATACTTTCCTCAGAAGGCTATGTTCCAGCTCCATATTTTAAAGGCTTATATTATCCAATGCCTTTTTTAAAAAGTTAAGAGTCAATTTGTCTTTCTTTGCTCAGTGAAATCTTGATAGCATTTGCTAACTCAGTGCTTCTAAAGTAAATTCTAGGCCAGGCACAGTGGCTCATGCCTATAAGCCTAGCACTCTGGGAGACCGAAACAGGAGGATTGCTTGACCTTGGGAGATGGAGACCAGCCTAAGCAAGAGCAAGACTATGTCTTTACTAAAAATAGGAAAATTAGTTGATGGTGGTGATAGGAGCCTCTAGTTCCAGCTACAAGATCCTTTGAACCCAGGAGTGTGTGCCAGGCTGATGCCATGGCACTACCTGGAGTGACAGAGTGAGCCTCTGTCTCAAAAGAAATAAAAAGTAAATCTTGGAGTTAACAAACTGAAATGAAGGCCCTATTGAGACATTTAAATGACAAAAATTATTTGGGTAAAAGGTAGCATTGTAAATACCTGCATATGTATATCCATTCCTAATATTCTAATTCATATATCTCTCATCTTCTGGGAAATAAGAAAGCAGGCTGTTTCTAGACTTTTGTGTTATTGCCTAAACAATGCAATATTTTATTTCCTGTCTTGCCATGAAGACCGTTGATTATTTGCTCTTCACAGGTCACTGACAAGGAACAGGAGTTTGCTGCCAGGGCTGCAAAACAGCTCGAATATCAGCAATTAGAAGAAGATAAACTTTCTCAGAAATCGTCTAGCAGTAAACTCTCTAGGTCTCCACTAAAGATAGTCAAAAAGCCTAAAAGCATGCAGTGCAAAGTGATTCTTCTGGATGGATCAGAATACACCTGTGAGGTAGAGGTAAGTGTGTATTTTAAAATGTTTTTGTCCCAGACATTGAGAGCTGGAGAATGTTAGTATTAAACAAACAAGATGCCTGTTTGCTTTTCTAGAACTCTGGAAAATTACTCAGACCCAGTCTCTAAATGCAAAATTATTTCCAAAGTCTGTCTGTAACAGGGGATCAAAATACTTAAAATATGTATATTGTCCCCAAGTGATACAATCAAAACCAAAATGTAATCTTATATCTAAAAGAAAAAAAAATGAAATCTCTAGTACTTCATGTGGTAGGGAAAAAAATTGAAGGCTTAATAATCAATTTTTCTTTAATGCCCTGGCTGTGAGCTGTTATTTACATGGATTTTTACCTTTTATAGTAGTATAATTTTTGTAATTTATGGCCAAGTCACTTGTTACTTGGTAGAAACTTATAAATTCTGTACATAGGCACAGTGAAATAATCCAAAATGTCATGTCCTTTCCTTGCTCAAGGGCTGAGTAATTTTTTAAATGCACATTGTGGTGGGCATTGCAATTCGATTCTTTTTTGAAGAAATTTCTTCTCAGAGAAGGCGTAATTGAATGCCTTTTGTGGGAGGCGTTTAGGAAGACCAAGTGGGCAGATGAGAACACAGTCAGGCAGTAGTCGCAGAGGTGGTTGCTGAGCTGAGTCTCCTGGGGAACCCTTTACACAGCGGGAACTGGAGCTGCAGAGAGCAGGTCCGTGAGTGCACCAAGGAGTGGCTCAGGGAGGTGATCCATTTCACATTGGGCATCTTCATTCCAAGAGCTCATTCTTTCTGCTTCCTGTCTGGCCCTTGTCCTTAGGGGAGGGACCCAACACGCCCCTCCAGGCCGGCCCTCCTACCACATCCCTCTCCAGGGACTCCTACCTTGGGGCTGTGCTAAGATTCTCTGCCGAGCAGAGCACTGCAGGCGTGTGCATGTGTGCGTCCTCACACATTTCCACCTCTTTCCTCATGACAGCACCAAGCTCACTTGATTTCCCATGGTGTTCCCTATTCATTCATCTTTGTCCCTCTGTATACAGGCCTCCCTATCATTCCTCTGATACATTTTGCATGATGCACCAGGCACCCAGTGCTTTTCTTGCAGTAGAGCCTTTAAATCTATTTTATGTTGGCTTCATTTAGGCTGGGGATGAGGGGTGAGATTTTAAATTTTTATAGATGCTAATTTTTGTATGCAAGAACATATAGAAAATATATTTTTTGAAGATAAATTCTTATATCAAAAGTTATTTAGTCTGTCATGCTAATCTATAAAAAGATTTTAATCGCCCTGTAGCTTGACGGGTTGCTGCAGAGATTTCCAAGAACCCCATAAAGTTCACCATGCACAGATCTATTTCTTGCCTTTTGCTGGCTTTGATTTCAGCTGAAGTGTCCAATTACTGATTTAGATGTGAATTCTGGAAATGGGGAGCTTCAATAATGTATTCCTAGCTGGGGAATGAAGCTATGAAGCTTCAAGGACTTTTGTGACCTTGAGAGAGATTATATTTTTCCAGTGTAGATCCACTTTCTAGAAAACTTGATCGAAGTTAGGAGAAGCTAAGCTGTGTTCGTTAACTTTGAGGAGAATCTCTCTGTTGATCTCATTTATATAACCGAATAGATAGGGTTGACTGACAGTCCTTTAGTCATGGCTACCAGAAATTTTTCTAAGGAAGAATCTAGAAGAAAGTTCACAGTATTTCGTGTAGTGAGGACACAGGCAGTCTCTGGGTTCTTATAGGTTTGTTCTGAAGTTGAACTTGGGTGTAAGTTGGAACAGGTACTTTTACAACTGTTGCCTGTAATAGCCTCCATTTGTAAGTGTGAGTGCTGTATCAGTTGAATGTTTGTAACTCAGGGACTACTTGTAATGTCGTTTTACCAAATTTGTGTCTGTGCTTCAAATCCATTATAAATAATCATTGTGCTTTTGAGTATAGATTTTTTATTTTGTGATTAACCTTGGATACAATTAATTGTTACTTTTAATGCCACTGTGAGCATTTTGAGTGGCATGGCAATATTGGTCAGTTATTTTCTTTCATAATAAAGTATTTTTATAAATCTGACAGATTTCTAAGAGTAACTTTTTTTGAGGATGTAAAAACCTCTGCCAACAATAATTTCAATTTCACGACAGACATTAGTTTTAGAAAATATGTGTTCACTGCTGTCATCTTGGTGAAGAAAATGAAGACACTTGGATGTGGTTGGAGTTCAGTGAACTTATTTGTAGCTGATTTGTTGAATAAGAAGAATGTAAACAAGTGGCATGATTCTTTTTTTTTTTTTTTGTAGAGACAGTCTCACTTTTTCACCCTCGGTAGAGCGCAGCGGAGTTGCTCCAGCAACCTCCAACTCCTGGGCTTAGGCGATTCTTCTGCCTCAGCCTCCCAAGTAGCTGGGACTACAGGTGCCCGCCGCAACGCCCGGCTATTTTTTGTTGCAGTTTGGCCGGGGCTGGGTTTGAGCCTGCCACCCTCGGTATATGGGGCCGGCGCCTTACTCACTGAGCCACAGGCGCCTCCCAAGTGGCATGATTCTTAAGGTGGCAATGAGATGCTAGATAAAAAAGTATGTTCAGAACATCTCATGTTTCCTGATAGAAACTATGGAAAGTAGAGCTGGGTTGCAGGTCTCACGGGCTTCGAGGATAGATAGAGGCTGGGAAAGCACTGCCCTGGGAAAATGTTCTGCAGTGTTCTCCCTCCTCAAAACTGAGTTTATACAGAGACTTGGATGAAGGCACAGAAACACAGCCAGTTTTTTTTAAAGCAATGCAGAGCTTTAAAATGCCCTGAGAGTCAGAATCCAGCTTTACTGTGCAGGGGATCGCAGAGCTGCAGGCTAACGTTTAGCAGGAAGGGAGGTAAAACTTCCCACTGTTAGAAAAGATTGTTTTGGCTTGACGCCTGTAGCTCAGCAGCAAAGGTGCCAGCCACATACACCAGAGCTGGCGGGTTCGAATCCAGCGTGGGCCCGCCAAACAACAATGACGACTACAACCAAAAAAATGGCTGGGCATTATGGCGGGTGCCTGTAGTCCCAGCTATGTGGGAGGCTGCAGCAGGAGGAACGCTTAAGCCCAAGAGTTTGAGGTTGCTGTGAGCTGTGATGGCACTGCACTCTACCAAGGGCAACAGCTTAAGACTCTGTCTAAAAAAAGAAGAAAAGATTATGTTAAGTGCAAAATAGAAATACATTTGGGCAGGCAGAGGGGCAGTCAGACTTAGTAATAATTTGGGTAAAAGCCATGTTGGGATTTAAGTTATAAACTCAATATAAGCCAAGAGTGTAGTGTATAGTCGTCGAAACCCATCACGCGGTCACAGGCTCTGTGGAAGTGTGGAGCTCTGTGTGCGGCAGGCAGTGGCTGCCAGTCCCCGCGCTGCACAGACCCATGGCAGGGCTGTGTCTCATTTACAGCCTGGGGTGGCCTTGTGGTCTCGTCCACTGGTAACCTGCATGATTTCAGGGAACTTATTTAACTTTTCTGAACCTGAGTTTCTGCAACAGAAAACTGGGGGTAAAAATGCTCACCTTAGAAAGGCATTACTGAGAAGATTAAAGCAAATAATTTCTTTAAACACCTCTAGGATGTGACATATTCTTAATCAGTGGGAGCTGTTTATTAACAATGATAAGAACCAGGAGCTGTGACTTGAATGGCAGAGAAGTACAGGATGGTGAATGGTCTCGACACCTTCCCAGGAGGAATGATTAGGGAATAGGATGTGTTACCTACGGACAAATAAGATTAGCAGGGGACAGGAGAGTTTTTTTCAGTTACTTGAGAAGGTTGACATTGAAGAATCACCGTAACTTTTTTTTAATGTATAGAAAGCAAAACTAAGGTAGAAGTTATAGGAAGTCAAGGTTTTAAATAAATAGAAAATATCTGAAATGATTGCCATCAACCTAGTGAGCTTGTGTGCCTTGTGATGGAGGGTTCTGGCACACACTGCAGTGCAGTTCTGGAAGCCAGCTTTGCCCCTATGCGGTGTCAGACAGCTCCAGGTGCCCCTTCCTTCTCTGACTCAGAGAGAGACACAAAAACTACAACCAACGGAAGAAGCAGAATTGCTTTCCTAATTCCTGTCCCCAATACATATAGCTGTAGGTGAATTAAGAACAGAAGACAGGAGACAATAACAGGTGGAACTGTTTTGCATTTAATAAGACATTTAAAAAATAAGGGTTTTGGCTTGGTGCCTGTAGCACAGTGGTTATGGCACCAGCCGCATGCACCGAGGCTGGTGGGTTCAAACCCAGCTCAGGCCTGCTAAACAACAATGACAACTGCAACAAAAAATAGCCGGGCATTGTGGCAGGCTCCTGTAGTCCCAGCTACTTGGGAGGCTGAGGCAAGAGAATCGCTTAACCCCAAGAGTTTGAGGTTGCTGTGAGCTGTGATACCACAGCACTGTACCGAGGGAGACACAGTAACACTGTCATTAGATAAATAAATACATAAAAAATAAGGTTTGGTTTGGTTTTGCTTGTTTTGTTAGAGACAGGGTTTCATTCTCTACCCAGGCTAGAGTGCAGTGACCTCATCATAATAGCCACTGTAGCCTCCAACTCGTGGGCTCAAGTGATCTTCCTGCCTCAGCTTCCCGAGTAGCTGGAATTCCAGGTGCCCACCATAACACCCAGCTAGTTTGTTTATATTTTGTAGAGATGGGGTCTTACTGTTACTCTGGCTGATCTCGAGCTCCTGGGCTCAAGCAGTCCTCCCACCTTCACTTCCCCAAGTGCTAGCATTCTAGACATGAGCCATCGTACCCTGCCAAAACATTTTATCTTCATAAAATTGTGATGTTTTCCCCTAATTAATGCTGTTATCACTTCAACATCAAAATCATTAAGGTTCAATTCTGTCATGAGTTTATCATAAGAATTTATAGTCGCCTGTAAAAGACTCCTGACACACACACGGCCCTTGGAATAGCATGAGTTTCTGTTTTGAGGCCACAAGGTAGCATTTCTCCTTGCCCAGGT